ATCCGCCCCTACACACCTGACCGGCGCCTCAGGTCTGCGGACCAGACATTATTAGAAGTACCAAGAACTAAACTGAGGCTCAGAGGGGATCGAGCCTTTTCTGTTGCTGGTCCCTCTCTCTGGAATGACCTCCCACTGAACATTCGGCAAGCCTCCTCGCTGCCCATCTTCAAAACCCGCCTCAAAACTCACTTGTATTTTTTGGCATTTGACTCAGCATGACTTAGATTGTTCTTGGTTTTGCTGTTCGGTGCTTTCTACTGTTTTTATTTCCGATTTGCTTTGCTGTTTGTTGTATATGTTAATTTGCTCCATGTACGGCACTTTGTATGCAGCGATGGCTGTTTGAAAGTGCTCTATAAATACAGTTGAGTTGAGTTGAGTGTACAGCATACATACACATATTCATATGCGACTTCCTGACTCTTTCTCTTTTGTGGCATCGGTCTCAATAAAGAATAGATACACATCAAACAACCATAACTCAATTAGGTGACTGCAGACGAGGCTATTGTATCTTTATTAGCTATTGTATCTTTATTAATGGACAAGAGCTCCACAAATGACCTCCCCGAAGTCACATGCAGTATTCACGTGTAAACGGTGTGGTGCTCACTTCATCCACTCAACGCCACCTAATAAAGCTTTAAATCACTCGCCTCTTTGGCCAGGAGGGGCCTGAGGTTTTTGGCCTCGCAGCTTTGAGGAGTTTCGCGAATCCACATCAACTAGCTTCTTTGATGTAAGTGTGAGCCTCTCTTTTGGGGCCAGTCGAAGGGCAAAAAAAAAGCAGGGCTTTCCCCTTGACACACTGTAGCCCAGCAAAATCCAGCTTACTCCTGCTCCTACTGCATGAGTACCCCCCCCCCCCACACACACATAGTTTGATCAAGACTGCAACTTACCTCCAGTACTAGCTTCCCATGACAATACTTCAAAATAAAATAAATAAATAATAGGCCACTTGATGTATTTAGGCCAAACTCAGATCAAAACTCCACTACGAGTGGGTATACAATTTAGGTTGTTCAGAGAACAGCAATCAAACAATTCATCAATAGGGTAAATGTGTCTTATTCTCAGTGAAGGTACAAACTTCACCATAAAGTGCAGAGAGCTTATAACTTTAATTAGGGATGCTAGATCTCACAATGAGCTCCACAGAGGATTACATCATAAATATGCAATGTGATGATACAGCTGCACACTTAGTGACTTAAAAAAAAAAAAATCAAAGAGAATGAGCCAGACTGAAACAAGCAGGCAAACACGTATGCATGCTGTTTGTTCATACAAAGTCAAGACATATTGCATCTTGCAAGCGGTGCACTGCAGCGCATCATTTTGTGAAACTTAACACCAGCAGGACATGAGTTTCAAGACATCAGTTTGGGGGTGCTGAAGGAACCCAATTTATTGAATTGGCTTTGATCAAATTGGACTGGAATCATTTTCAACTTTTAATTCACTATTAAATAATACAATCCATACAAATGGTATTCCATAATGCCAAAGTGGTTGTGTTTGGTCAGGTCGGTATTGTAAACAAGAACAGCACTTCGTTCTATCTGGTTGAGCGCACCTCTTTGAGCCCATTCAGTCAAAGAGGATGAACCCAACCACCTTGACAGCTCTTGCACTCTGCCAAATCAAATCGCTCTCTTCTGTCTGACCGGTGTTCATCCCCCTTTACCAACGGTCTGTATTTTAAAGCCTCATCTTAATATGTGCACGAAACATAAAAACTAAAATAAAATTGTACTAAAGTAATCCTCCGCACTTTCCATTCCTCTGCTATCGTGTCTTGGAATTTTTTCTTCATCCTTCAAGATCTATCATCACGGCTTGTGGTGTTGTCCACGTCTTCAAAACGGGTTGCCTTGATCGCCCCTTGGGGTGGGGGAAGCAAGCGAGTGCTTCATCAAAATTCAAACCCATATACAGTAATGTGTAATGGACTATGGGTTCATTTGCCAAATTTTCTGCAATATCGGACCTTTCTTTTGACTTCCTGTTGGGCACAAGTCTTACTTTGAAGGAATATGGAAGGAGATAACGGCTGATTAGCCGGTGAAATGGTAGTACAGAGACGATTCCGAAGAAGTAAAACAGATTCACAGACGACAAAATTAACAGTTTGAAGATACCCTGTTTGAAAGCGGCAACAGGGTGAATATTTGTGTTTATCTGTCTATAGATTTATGTTTGTGATTAGAATATGCACTTAATCGCACGTTATATTTATGGAGATAAGCGTGACTCATGGCATCATGTTTGTTTTATTTTCTAGCTCTAGAGGTTTATGTACGAGACAAACGGAAATAAAAGGAAATTTCAGACCACCAGTAAAGTTTCAATATTTCAACTGACACCACATCATCAATGCTTGGTTGACATTGGCACCTCCAAAAGGTGTTCATTTTTGGTATACAGTAGCTTTGATAAGCAAGATTTTCTTAAAAAAAGAAGGATGTGATGTTAACAGTAAAATGTGATATAACTGTAAAAGAGTGACTCCCCCACCCTGCCCCCGAAGAAACATCACAAAGGGTGCCCAGTATCTGTGTTTCTATATCCTGCAATCTGCTGTGTGCAAAAATCTGATGTCTCACATTCTGTGTAAATTCCTGGTGTCCGTTTGCCTCCCACAAGTGAGCGTGTGAGAGCGGTTTGCCTTTGTGCACATGTGAGTGAGTGTGCTGCTGAGGGTATGTAAACCACGTACATCCTGTATGTTGAGCCACTCGCCTGAGAATTTTTGTACTTAGTTTCACCCCAGCCTCTTCGGCAACTTTCTCTCTCAGTCTCCACAAAAGTGCCGGATGAGAAAGCCCCCGCACACCTGTGCTTTCATTGAATTTTTAGCATCTTTTTCCATCACCTTTGTAGGCTCATCATGCAGATACAGAAGAGAGAAAATAATCTATTTGCTCTTGAGTGAATACTGTGAACTCTCAGTCACGCATAATAAGTCGGCTCAAAGTTAATTTATGTGCTTCTCGTGACAGATATAAGCGTGTCTCTCCCCATGAAGGCTCGGACAAAATGGAATGGAATTAGACAAAGAGAGGGTTTTCATTTAAGCTAAAAAATGGGTTGGGACTGCAAAATCACTGATAATACTAGAAAACCTGATTTCCCTCTGTTATTTTCCACTGAAGTCAAACCACTCTGCGCAAACCCTAATTTTCCATGATCCATTATTCATTTTTTCCCTGTGGAGCCTGATCTCCATGGCTGAAAGGTCCCCATAGCTAACCCACAGACCGCCTCTCATCCTCGAACCACTCAACAGACACACAGCTAATGAAACCAGAAAGATGATGGCATCACATACTTCTACAACCCATGCTGCAACGCCACTGTGTGACAGTGACATATGCGTTCAAAGAAGAAGCAAGAGAAGAGACTGGACCGAGGACAACATCAGCAATGCCAGCATTTGCGTTGCTCATTTCATATCTGGTAACTTCTTGTGACCATTTGGTTTAACTTAACCCCCCTGACTTGAAATGTTGAGTAAGTGGTCAGGGATTGCAGAATAATGGCAAGGTGTTTGCTGCTCGTGCAGTGCAACTCATTCAGGGATGAGCTTTGGTGCACACTCGCGCCACGTAGCTTAAACTCGGAATTTGTTTGCATTATTGTTTGCGATATTTGCCTTGGCCGAGAACACCACAGCAAGTTAAAAGTAGCCCTACAATGTGATCCCACCGAGATCGCCGTCATTACAATTTGACACTATTATCAGTTCTCGTTTATGTAATATAAAGCAACAAAACAAATGAGCAGACTCAGTGGCTACATTACTCACCCTGACATGCAAATAGAGTTGACTGAAGATGTAGTTCTCCTTTCTGTTGGCGAGGGCCCAAGCAGGGCTTGCAGTTTTCTCTCGAGTGTAAACACTTGGTTTTGACACGAAATAAAGATGAACTTAGTAAGATCTTCCTCCCATTCTGTAATCCCATAAGGATCGGAAACTTCATTTCCATCAGGCAAAATTAGTTTCGTTTCTGTAGCTGGACCGCCAAAGTCTCTGCCTTTTGCCGCCGCCCACAGGGCACCTAACTCCTTTGGCCACTCTCAGAGGTGGTGAGCCCATGGAAAATTGGACCCAAGTTGCCTTTTCAGGCTGTGCACGGCCAGGCCCAATGGGTGCAGGCCCAGCCACTAGGCGCTCGCCTCCGAGCTCCACCTCCAGGCCTGGATCCAGAGGGGGTGAAATGCCCTCTCCAGGTCGGGGATGAGAGACTGCCCCAAGTGAAGGAGTTTAAGTATCTTGAGATCTTGTTCACGAGTGAGGGCAGGAGGGAGCGTGAGCTCCACAGGCAGATCTGTGCAGCATCTACTGTGATGCGGACTCTGTATCGTTCTATCGTGGTGAAGAAGGAGCTGAGCCGAAAGGCAAAGCTCTCAATTTACCGGTCGCTCTACGTTGCTACTCTCACATGTGGTCACGAACGGTGGGTCATGACCGAAAGAAGATGATCCCGGATACAAGTGGCCGAAATGGGTTTCCTGCAGAAGGGGTCCGGGCTGTCCCTTAGAGATGGTGGAGAGGTGAGAAGCTCAGTCATCAGATTCGAGCTGCTACTTCTCCACATTGAGAGGAGCGAGAGGAGGTGGCGTGGACATCTGATTAGGACGCCTCTTGGTGCCTCCCTGGGGAAGTGTTTTGGGCATGTCCCACTGGCAAGAAGCCTTGGGAATGACCCAGGACACGCTGGACAGACTATGTCTCCCGGCTGGCCTGGGAACGGCTTAGGATCCTTCCAGAAGAGTTGGAAGACGTGGCTGGGGAGAGGGAAGTGTGGGCTTCCCTGCTAAAGCTGCTGCTTCTGTGACCCGACCATATAAGCGCAAGAAAATGGTATGGTATACAAGAAATTTTTGCAAACCTTAGTCGACTTGTGTGCATACTAACGTACTCCGTCGTTCTTTCTGCGCCACAATGCACACGCATCTTGATTATGCTATTTTTGTTTACAACCTGAAAATGGGTCTATAGAGAAACACAATCAGTTAGCAAATAAAAGACTTGGCTCATTACCCTGGTGGAATGGTTCCTCTAGGACTGGCCATAGAGATGCGCTGAGTGCCTGGTCGGTTCAGGTTGTTCTGTCCGTTGATTGCAAGTGTGTTGTGACCGTGGGATGGCATCACAGGAAAGTTGGCTGGGGACAATGGCACCTGCACCTGCTCACCTTTGGCTTGCCCGCCTCCTATACTGACATTATTGGTGCCAGACGAAGTTGGAGACCAAAGAGAGGTTCCAGCAAATGTGTTGCTCTGCCGTACAGCCGTCAGGGTCCCTGTGGCACCCGTATTGCCTGCTGCCCCTCCGTGGAGCTTCCGTCGCTGAGAGGCAAGGATTGCATTCGATGCGGCTCTCGTACTGTTGACCAGGATACATTGCTGGCAGGAGCAGGGCTGACCGGAGCTGGCGCCCACAGGCCAAGACTGCGACTTGGGGATGGAACCCATGATGAGTGGGTAAGCAAGATCCATCCGTCTCCGAAGGCGCCGTTTGCGTTGGCTCTGCTTATTGGTTTGTGACATGCTGTTGAAGTCGATGAGGTAACAGAAGCCTACAGAGGTCAGATCCAGCCACGGGTGCTGCTTCTCGTAGGCATTCTGGATGGTCACACATATCTCCATGTCATATGGCGTCCATGAGCCATTGTCGTTCTCCCACTCCCACACCACGCCTTTGCCCGGAGCAGAAGACGGTTCGTAGAAGTTCCTCTGCACTGGTCTCATGGTGCCTGAAAAGACAAGAGAGAATTGAAGAGGAACAATATGAGAGTCCCAATTTAAACTACAAGGGCGCTTGGCAAAGTATGAACAATATTGTCGCCTTTTAGAAATGACAAACAAAAATACTCTGGTTTATCTGCTCTTTGCATCATTTGAACATTTTGAACGACAATTGAAATTTTGGGGAGCTGTCATGCATGTGAAGCTCTGTAGATGTTAAATTTAACCAATGATTACAGTTAGCAAGGCCGTTAGTAAGAAGTGAAATTGCTATTTTGCCCTTAACCCAAACTCCAGTTAATCCAATTAGGAAATAGGTGCTGTGGCAGGAACTCTAGCTGCTAATCAGGATTACTTTGTGATAAATGTCAGCAAGGCTCAAGGCATATATTACTAATTGTTGCATTAGATCATTGGTTCACGTTATTTTCAACAGATCATCATAAAACAAGGTTGTGTAGGCTCAAAAAGGCTCAGGAGACTCAGCAGGACCATCAAGTATTCAGAGAATCATATCCGCAGTCCTTTCCTACTCAAAGCAGCAATGTCCTTCTACTCATGGTCGCTTAACTCTCTCGCCCATTACAACACAGCATAGTGGTCACTTGGGAAATGTTATTCTTAAGACGTTGGCAAGTGCTGCCAGACAGCCCTCCTTTCCAATTCGGGTAAATAGTACTGCACATTATTCGAGTAACAATAGTGTGATGAGAGTGCGTGCAGCGGCCTGATGACCACGAGAATGAGTACAAAAACAGCAGCATTCTTGTAGCAACTACGTATGGGCTGCAGAAATTAAATGCATAAGCTTAACCACCAATGTGAATTTGAGTCTATGCTTCAAAGATTCATCCGGATGGCTAATTTTATTTGGAGCTGGCCAGAAATTTGTGTCCACACAAAAAGTCAAATATGAGTTGTTGATGTCCTCACCGCAACTCTCCATGTCCTTCCTAACAGGAAACTGAGTGAAAGTGTCCACTTCCTGACTGGTCCTGTGTGATTTTAGTCGCCATCTTTCCTGCCCCGCCCTTACTGTCCTCCAGTTGTCTTTAGCTTCCTATCAGGCGAGTGCTAGCTGTGTGATGTATTGTCTCGTCAAACTCCACAAAGGGACTCTAACCCCACTGTCACTCGGGGTCAGGGCAGTTCAGGGACAGCTCAGCTGTCCTTCCAGGTCTCAGCTGAAGGAAAACTTCCTGCAGCATGTTTGTTGCTGGAGGGCCAAACGTGCTTCCATTGCAAATAGCTTTGTTTTCCTCTGGCAGTGACCAAAGACCTGTCAAAGTGACTCCTGAATGGCTGAACATGTGGAATGCAACTGTAAAGTCCTTGACTATCCGCAGAAGCCAGTTGCGGGAAATGAAAACAGAGGCCATATGGTTTAAATACCATTAATCCGGAAGAGCATTTGTGAGGTCACAAAGGCCTACAATTTTCATTCTAATCAGTTGCAAAGACAGTTGACACGGTTGCGATCACGTTCTTTTAAACATGAAACACAACTAAGCAATAGAGCTTGCTTCTTGCCTTAAGGAAGTTAGACTCAAGCGGGAAAATGCTTTCTTTCCCCAAACGAATGATTTTTTTTACGTCTCAGTAAAAAGAGGGATTCAAATCCAGAGGGAACTGAAGCGTTTAACTACTGTTGCACAACAACATACTCACATATACTGAGCCCATCGGGTAATTTAATCTATTTGAACATGTTTCAAAATGTTACAGTGAGAAATCTAATGAGAAACTGGAATTACGAATGTACTGGAGACAACATTGCAGAGGAAAAAAAAGCAATAGTAGTAAAGTAATTCTTCATTGGAAGTTGATCTACATTTCTTTTGTTTGCTTTAATGTTGAGGATTGAATATTATGCAGAGGTGTACTGGAATAATTTTAGAGACAAATGACAGTATTTATAGTAATGGCGGACAGTTGGGGTTTGGGGGGTGCAAAATGTTTTCTAAGTGGGGCATAGCAGAAACTAATTGAGAAGGCCAACACAAGCAATTGTCTGGGGCCCCGAGATTTCCAGGGGGGCCCCCCCATCTCATAAAAGGTGATTACGGTAATAAATTTTGATTCAACAGTACTTAAAACAATTTGTTGTTTTAGTCTTAGTACACACCTTTAAAAAAACAAAACAAAAACCATCCATCCAATGGACTATTTTATCATCTCTCTTTATTCAGGATAAAGGTAGCAAAATAAACTAGAGGTGTCAAAAATTCAATGAATAAACAACTAATAATAAGAAGATAACTACCAGTAATAGAATAATTCCCCCAATTGAGCAGAGAAGAGGAGAAGAGGAAAACAAATGATTTTTAATCAAACCAAGGTCTAAAATTTCAAACTTTTTTCACAATAACATTGATAGTAAATGACCACAGCAAGAGCTAGATACTCTTGTTGTAGTAGCGCTGCTGTTAGTGTCAGCCGAGGAGGATGTTGTAGAGATGAAGTGGAGAGTGACATTTCGGAATGAAAATATGAGTTTTAAAGCGGTTCAAATGGTGAACTGTGTTAAATGTTTATCTCGTTCAGATGATTCACTTGTTACATAATCTTCAAGATTTTACAGGACATGCTATTTTTTTTTCAAATTTACAATATTTAGTTGCTTATAAACAATATCAAAAATGTAGTACAGGTACACTGATGGTGAGGGCACCATCACATGACTTGCATTGGGCCCCCGAATGACTAAATATGCCCCCGAGTTTATCAATGCATGTGTGAGACAAACACGTCTGATGGAAATGACTAGTGTCTTATGTGCAACCACATGCAGTGTCAAAAATCTTTCAATAAATAACATGAGATTTATGCGTGTGGTAACGGAAGCTGTCCCTTGGGCTACTCAGTGCTGAGTGTCATAGTTGTGAACGTTAACACTTGTTCTTTCCCTGAGCAGAGTGCCAGCAGCCAACTTCTCAGTGTTCCCCTCCACAGTCTGGCTTGGCTGTGCACCAGCACTGTCTTTCTGAGCCGTTCCTCACATTTTCCACTCAAAAGACTCCATATCCTGGTCACACGCAATGCTCAACTCCTGGACAAGGAGCAAATGTTTGTCAGTGAGTTAAGGCCCATATCAACGAGTTGAGGCTTTCCTTCACTGACAGCCTCGGAGGGAAGGCATCCAAGAAGTATCCCAATCACAAGCTTTATGCTATATCCTAAAATCTTCCGCTTTCCTTGAGACTGCATTCAGCTTATTAAAGTGTATGTGTTCCGGCATTGTCAAGTACAGCATACAATGTCTAGGATCATGTACTTAAATGCAGTATAAGGTGGAAGAGTTCCGGACGTTGATGTCACACATCCCACAATGCGCTGCGTCAAATGTAAACACTGCCATTTTGGCATTTGACTTTCTTCACGTTGCTATTCGATCCTCCTACTACTCCAATTGGTGGAAGTTGTCCTCATAGGTGAATCCACCGGGCAGGCTTCTCGACAGCAGGTGTGGTGTTTTTTTTTTTTTTACATGTGTAATTCAGCATTAAAGGCTGTTATTTTTGGACATGTAGGACGAGGCTGCTTTGCTAAGATACCTTCCAGAAAACCGCATCTTTATTAATCTTTTTTTTTTTTTAACCACCATTCAAGAAAATTTATGACATTTTAATTTGTGGTCTGTGAATGTATTTTTACATGCTACTACGACCCTAACTGACTCTTGGGTTTCCCCCACATACTCTGAGGCAGATGAAGACAGGCAAGCCGGTCAAGGTTGTCCGTGTTGCTTCCTTGGCGCATTCCAGTGAGTCGCTCTTTTACCGGCAAGCTCTGGATTGATTAAGACGTGGAGTGATGCTGTAAACAAAAGCCTTGTAATGGTCAGATTGATTCTTTAATGCCTCAATGTCACAGAATCACTGATAAATGGCAATTTTATCACTGCTTTTCTTTGTAAATCATTCACTACTATCTTAAAAGTAGCAATTACAGTTAAGGAATTTCAAACTATATGCAATCTGAGATTGGCAAATTAACTTTAATCTTCAGCAGTTTTGCAGAAGAAAGCAGAAGGATGATTTAAATATTCTTTTGGGGGCGTTACTGATGGAAAAACAAGTCCAGAGTTTGTGTATTTGATCTTGTGCAAAGGTGATGCCAGATCTCCAGAGGATAATTTGAGAGGATATCAAGAAAACGTTGACAGATCTTGGGAGTAGTTGATAATGCGCTGAAAAGATGTTATGATGCATTGCTCTGGCTGTGGATATACAAACAACACTGGGTCACACACTTGCATGGTGACTCTTAGCATCATCAAGCCTCAGGACATTAACACCTACATGCTTAACTGAAGCAACTTGTTGTTCCAAGTCCTTACAGAGAAATGACATTAATGCATACAAGCAGTGTGATTTATTCAAGGATGGCATTTGATTCCTAAACCCAAAACTAGCCGTGAAAAAAAATAAATTAAAAAAATCTCTCCCCCCGTGGCAAAATAGTGAGTTCAGAATGTTCACCTTTGTGTCATTGCAGGGGTTTGATGTGAGCATTTGTTATTTTCTGTATGAGTGTTCACAATCACAACTAGGGACAATTTAGAGTGTTCAATTAACCGACCTTGCATGTTTTTGTAATGTGGGATGAACCCGGAGAAAACCCATGCAGGCACAGGGAAAACATGCAAACTCCATACAGGAAGGCCGGAGCCAGAATCAAACCCACGACCTCTGTATTGTGAAGTGGACGTACTAACCAGTCCCCACTGTGCCACCACACAGAATATCACATTCCCAAAAACAGAACAGCAAAAACTGCAGTCAACTCTAGATGATGAATGTGATGATAATTTATTGAGTTGGTTGTAAATAAAATAACTGAAGCAAATTAGAGGTTTGCACATACAGAAAACAGTGCAGCATGGTGAGAGGGCTAAAAAGCACTTTCCAAAAAACACCTCAAAAAATGCATCCAAGTTGGAAGAGTAGATTAAGAGACAGGATGCTGCCAAGCTGTTAAAAATACATCACACGTGTACCGGGAGAAA